AATTAATTTAACCCATTCTGTGATTAAATTCTTCTAATATGGTTTAATCTATAGAGCAAAGAGATAAATGCCAGTTAACACATGTTTCTATGCATTTCCATTGAGAAAAAGCCAGCTTTTTTGATACAGCACCACAAATGCTGGACCCTGAGTTGAAACCACTGATGTCAGTGTCTGATAGAGGGGCTATCACCAGATATTCACCAATGATTTGCTGAAGCAGCCAACAGTCTGTCCTGCGTTGTTATCTCCCCTTAGAAATGACCCTTTCTTCCTCTCTTTACCACTCGATTGTCAAACCTGTGGAAATTTGGGATGGTCCTCCTTGGGCAGAACTGGCTTCACACTAGTCACATGTCGGTGGAAAAGAGTTATAAGGGATCTTTTACTACATTCAGATTTATAGTCAGTATTTTTGCCAAAACGCGTCATTCCTCTAATGTGGCCCTGTATTGTCTCACAAAGCCTGCTGCTCATTCTGGCTCTGTTTCTGTTGTCTCTGCCATTGTGGCAGTGCAAAGATGGTCATTGTAGAAAGTTTTTGTTGTATATGTGTTTGATTCCTAACGGTGACGGTCAGGTGGCTCGCCGATGTGTCTATGAGAGCGCGCAGAGTTCGGGAGTCAGACATAATACTTTGAAAAAAGCTGAGAGCAAATATACTCTGAATTGTACGTTGATAGAGGAAAAGCCAGCTTCAGTGTTGATCAAGGTAGTAAAAGATTTCTAATAATGTATCACAATAAAGCACTTCTTGTTCAGGAGCTCTGCAGCTTGTTTCTTTTCATAAGAGGGCTTCATAAAAGCTGGATCCATACACAACACCATCCACACACAAGGGGGGGGTTTAAAGTCATTTACAGGGGCACAGAAACACATCAAAATAGTTTTAATGTGAGAATGATGTGTTGAAGCAAGTTCAAAATAAATGTTTATGGCTTTTGCATCATCTCCATGCAAGTTTTGATTTATTGCGTGGCAGGCTGGATTTAACTGGAGTTAGAGAAGTGCTTCAGTTAAAGAAAACACTGTGCACTTTATCCGAAAATCGGGACAATCATGGTGCTGTTGCAGTCGGGTGAAGCAGGGATGCTGTCTGAAAGCTTGACTTCACATTTGTTACTCCCACATTACATCTAGTCTGCTTTGCACTTGGAAAGTGTGGTTCGATGGGGCAGCTATTTTCTGTGAGAATAAAAAAGAAATAAGGACGGTTTCCACTTAAGGTTTGTTTGCCATGTTTTATCTGTGCCATTGCGTCTCCCGATGATGTGATGGAAGCGTTTGTGCCACGGAGCTGACTGTCCACTGGGTGGTGTCTTTTCATCACTGAAGCTGCTGCTGCTGCTGCCCAAGGGCTTGCAACATCCTGACCTCCAGCAGGGGATGCTGCTGGGGCTCGGAGAAATTGCACATCAGGTGAGGAAGCATCCAGTCCAAAAGTGATCATCTTCCAGATTGTTTTTTTATATTGGTAAACATTATAGATAACAGGATTTACACAGGAGTTTTTATAGAAAATAAAATAAAATAAAAATGACCTGTTTTGCAAGCCACGTTCATCTTTTCACACAAATATTTATACAGCAGTTTATTCTATGCACTTCGGAGCTTCTTTTACCTTGCATCCACACCTATACCCAATTTAAACTACTACGCCCTGTCAAAAACACTGAGTCATTCTAATGACTCCATAACAGCGTCTCAAAATGAAACTTGAGCTGTAGTTGTTTATTTTATTTTGTTTTTTTTCCAAGTGGCAAGCACAGATGTTTTACTTTGGTGCTTCTCTGTTCTGTTCAATCCCTCTTTGAATGCTGATAATGGATTCTCTAAGGAAGTGGAGAAAGATAAGAAGCACACAAGAGTTTTCTCTTCTTCCTTGTCTCTTGCGATTTCTGAGGCTGGTGACGTGGATGAATTTATCCTCAGCAGCAGAGGTGACTCTTGGTCTTCATTTCCTGGGCCGGTCATCATGTGTGCTAGTTTCATCGTAGCACTTGATGGTTTTTGCAACTAAACTTGGGGACACATTCCAAGTTTTTCCATTTTCTGGACTGACTGACCTTCAGTTTTTAAAGTAATGATGGGCTGTCATTTCTCTTTACTTAGCTGGTTGGTTTTTGCCATAATATGAATTCTAACAGTTGTCAAAGAAAGCTGTCAGCTGTGTACCAGCTGTGACTTCTGCACAACACAACTGATGGTCCCAACCCCATCAAGAAGGCAAGAAATTTCACAAATAAACCCTGACCTGTGAAGCGAAAACCATTTCAGCTGACTACATCATGAAGCTCATTGATAGAAGGCAAAGGCTGTCAACAAAGCAAAGGGTGGCTACTTTCAGGAATCTAAAATATAAAACATATTTATTTTTTTGCTACATGACTCCATATATCTTGCTTCATGCATTTGATGTTTTCAGTATGTGTCTACAATGTAGAAAGTAGTAAAAATAAAGAAAAACCATTAAATGAGAAGCTGTCCAAACTTTTGACTGGTGTGTGTATATCCATGACAGCTTTATTTGCCATTCTCCTGATGTGATTGGTAATGTCAGAGGGGAAGTTTGAAACAGTTTATAACAACTTATGTGGCCGTTTCTTCCTCTTATAAACCTCAGGTTGAAATTTAACCTTAGATTAGTTGAATTTATCTGAAAACATGAAGTTGTAAAGTCCTTTTTCTCTCGTCGTGCTGCATGCTTGATATGAGAATTGTGTAAAGGTTCCCTAATCTATGTGGGATCCAGAACTTTGGAACTTGGTAAAAATTTACACTCATTCAAAAGTTGTATGCTACTCCAAGCAAAAATACACTAACTCGCACTCGCTGTCCTGCAGGAGCACTTACAGCCACTGCTGGAGAAGAAAATCATGAGAGACGAGTAAGATCAGATGTTAGCACTGTGCAGGCATATTTTGTGCCATCTACATGCTCCAACGTGCTTGTTGTTTGATTCTGAAAATGCATGCCTGCATTCACAGAGATGTGAATGCAGGCATGCAGTTTGTGGTTTCATGAGGATTTTGTCATTTTTCTCTGTCCATGTTTAATACAAAGAAACTTACTTGTTTTTTTATGTCGAACAGGATGCTTTCATGTTCCTAATCAGCTGTTTGCCACTGTGTGTGATACAGTGGGAGGTTTTAGAGACTCTGAGTTGCAATCCTAGAGTTTCATCCTTCACACAGTAGTATCAGGGAGGTTTGTGATTTCTTCAAGATTTTCTTACTTCACTTCAATGTGTTAAATGACCATAGGTTTTCAACAGCAGTGTATGGGGGAAAACAACCTGCTTTTTAAAATTATGCATACAAGACAAACCATTTTGCTTCCTCTTGAGACTCCAGCGATAACAACCTTCAGATTATCAGAAATGATTCCTGAGTAAATCCTGATGGAATCCTGTTCAGAGGTCGTGAATGCAGATATATTAAGCTGTCATTAAACGTTTGAAAGTCAGTGTCTGTGTTTAACAAGTGACTTTGCACATCATGGTTTTTCTTTCTACTTTGCATTTAAGTCTTGGAATATAACTTCAGCGTGTGCCACAGATATGAACGGTATTCCTGCATTCGGTTAAAGACAACCAGGGGGTGGTATTGCCAAATATGACCAACAGGGGACATGCTGCCTTCAGCCAAGAGAGAGCTCCTGCAGTCCTCCACCTTCTCCTCCTTCTCTGAGGTCATCCTACATGGCTGCAGCATGGGGAAAACCATTTGCTTTGGAGAGATGTCTGAGAAGAACGTCTCACGCTGTTCTCTATTTATAATCAACACATGTTGTGGATATTGTTAGAATATGCCTCTCTGTCACTCTAAATGAGAGTTGGGCTGAATTTCTGTGTGTGTGTGTGTGTGTGTGTCTGTGTTCATGCTCTCTATCTCATCCATCACCAGAATGTTTTTGTGGTTTGGCCTTTTAGGCTCTATGCAAATGTAAATTTTCACATATTTCCCACTGCTCACTGCTCGTCTCATAGAAGCCTTGTTATCTCTGTTGGTATCATATGACTCAGTTACTGTAAATTCAACAGTCGCTGATTAGTAAAACAAATAGACATCAGAAGGGGTGGTGACAGCAGGCAAAGCTGGAAAGGGGAATAATACTACCAGAGCTACAATACACTGACTTGTGATGTCAGTACCTACAGCTGGGAAATAACCCAGATAGGCAAAGAAAAACAAAAGTGATATGAAAATAAAAGAGACAACACAAAAATGACATGTTTGTGCTACAGTAGAAGAGGCCAGACAGCAGCAAGTGTTTACAGTAGACAGAAATTAGTTTTACTGACTGCAGAGAGCACCAATTAACAAATGAGGGGATGAGATGACACCGCAGGCTGTTATGTGTGTGTGTGTGTGTGTGTGTGTGTGTGTGTGTGTGTGTGTGTGTGTGTGTGTGTGTGTGTGTGTGTACATGTTTAGAGTAGGATTGGGCAGAGGTACTGAGAGGTATAATGCTGTGTTGAATACCGAACCAAAGAGTAACATTAGCCCAACTCTGAGTCATGAGAGAGTTACCCCCTGCTGCTGCTGCCCCACACTCCTCTACTCCAGCTGCCTCTGTCCATCCATCAATCCCTGTTCTCCATCCTATAAATACACTCCTGCTCTCACTGAGGAAAATCCCTGTGCCTTGACCTAGCTTACACACACGCATACACACACAAACACACACTGGTCTGTAGTCTATTGGCTCTCCTCAGTGGAAACTATTCCTCTAACTACATGATCCACACTTTCCTGAGTGAGCGTTGGATGACGCAGCCGAAACTCAGAAAGTGATTTCAGTTATATACCCAATTTGAAAAACGCAATTTCAAGGCACAGTGTGCTTTCAGCTTGCTGGAGATGTGATTATGAACGGCGATTAAGTTAAATGCCAGATAAGGCTGTTCAAGATAGCTAGGATCAAAGTCTGCAGGTATAAGTGAGGACTGTCACCTCAGTGCCTCCACACAAGCAGCAAGATAAAGGAGTTTGCATACCACTGCATCAGTCTTTGCATATCCTGTCTCTCTGTTGCTGGCTGCTTTCACCCATGAAAAAAGGGAGGGTTAACTAACTCTAAAGGAAGCAGAACTATATTACAACAACCCCACGCTTGAGTCAGCTGCGCCGTCTCCACATGTGGATTACTGGCAGAAAGAGTCAGTGAGAGCTCCTGCAGTGGTCTGACTGAAACTTCGGGCTGCTGTCGTATTAATTTGAAGCTTGTGTTAATGACAGAGCGGAATCGGTTCCTCTTTACTGACTCTTCAGCTGCCTGTTCACGGTGTTCGGCTCTTGCTTCTCGGTACATGGCGACATTTCTGTCCTTTTTGTTGTGTGTCAGTGTGTGATTCAACTCGGTGCCAATGAGCGCAAGTCACAGCTTGTGTGAAGTTCATTATAAGCAACAGGAGCAGCAGCAGCAGCAGAGAAGGAAGAAGAAAGCCTTATAAGGAGCACAAGCAGCGGACAAAGTTGGATTATTGTCAGGCGGAGGGCTTCTTCAGTTTTCCTCTTTCTTAGGTTTTATTTTAACCGCTGGAAGTTATGACTTCGGTGTGGAAAAGACTGCAGCGAGTTGGTAAAAAGGCTTCAAAGTTTCAGTTCATCGCTTCTTACCAGGAACTCGTTTTGGAGTGTACTAAAAAATGGTGAGTAAATGCGCTTTTCTGCATCTATTTGCTCACGATTTTTATTGTTGGAGATGTGAGTAGCCTCCTGATACCGTGTGAAGCCTGTTATTAGCTATAACAAGCCTCCTATGTTTATCTCATATCGTGGGTGTTTTCCGCTACATTGAGGACGATGAGGGCGTCCCCCATGTGCCGAGCTGACAGTGCGGGTTCGATTCCCCACCCCGCCTGCGTGGACGTGATATGTCCACTGCTGTGACCATGCGCATGTAGGACCCTCTATAGTGTCCAGTCATGCTCATCGTTGTTAGTTCATGTCTGGGATTTAAATAAACTATTTTATGAGGCTAAAGCTCGTTAGGTTACACAAAACTTTTGGAAGCTGAAACGTTATATGACTCAAACTGATATACTGAAAGCAAAATAAGTCAAAAGTGTCAGCTTCAGGGGTCAAGGGCAAGGTTTTTAGACTATAGCTAACTAAGCCAGCTACTTAAAAAAAGAGAGATAATAAAAGAGTTGATGCAAATAAAACAAAAACTTAGAAAAGACACTACAATGCGATTAAAAAAATACAAAAAGAAATGTTAATTTGTCAGCAAAAGTGTGAGGCACTGGCATTAAAAAAAGGAAAGTAAAACTATTGCCATGCAGTCATGTGAAACAGAAAGTTTTCACAGGACTCTGTGCAGTCCTGCCAAGCACGGTGGTGGAGGTGTGATGATTTGGGCTTGTTTTGAAGCGACAGGACCTGGAGACCTTGAAGACATGGGATCAGCCATGAACTCCGGCATATGAGGCCATCTGTCCTTGTCACACCTGTCATGTCCTTGCATGACCCAGTTTGGGTCATGCAAGAGAACAATGATCCCATGCACAGCAGCAAATCTATCAAGAGTGGCTGAAAAGGAAAAGAATCGATGTGTTGCAACGGCCCATTCAAAGTCAACCTGATTGAATTTACTGCAGGACCTTAAGAGAGCTGCGTATAAACAAATGCCAAAAAACCTCAATGAACTGAAGCAACACTGTAAAGAAAGGTGAGCTAAAAATCCCCCATAATGATGTACGAGACCAATAAAGATACAGAGAAAAGCTCAGTTTAAGTCATTGATGCTAAACGTTTTTCTACAAGCTACTGAATCATTGTGTGTACTTAGCGTTTCACATAACTGCACGAGGACTGTGAAAACTTTCTTTTTCACGTGACTGGAAGTGGTATTACACATTATCATAATCTTAAAATCCCAAGTGCAATCTCCTCTGTTAATAGCTTCAGCAACATCTTTAAACTTTCACCCAGTTGTCAGTTTGGACCACACTGCACCTTCTTATCTGTTCAGATTACATTAAATGATGTATTAATTGGGTTTCCAGCACAGACCTCAATAAAGAACAGAGTGGCTCAAAAAGGTTTAAAGAGTTTGATCAACAGCAGAAAGACACAGGTATACATCTGTGGTGTAAAACCTATAAAGGCAACTGAGTGATTTACTTCCTACATTCAAAATGATGAAATCAGAGTCTTTAACTTCCACTGTCATAACCACAGACAGAGAAGGAAAGGGAGGAGTAAAGAGGAAGTGAGGACACCACCAGAGATTCATCCAAAGTTTCAGTCATGTGTGCTCAATGTATGTGTTGGTGATCAACACATGTTTGAACGTGATTAAACTCTGAGGTTACTGACAGGAAGTGAACTCTTTGGCCACATGTGGGTCCCTCTACAAATATTCTGTGCGCATGTGTCTGTGTTTGAGGGGGTGTTAGCCTATTATTTAAGATCATCGACTTTCTGTACTGAGACACATGTTCAATAGTAACAAAGGTGGCAATTTTAAGTAAAAGAAAGGTTAGGGTCAATCAGGTTGGATAAAAGAAGCAAAAATACAGGGGGGGGG